ACCCGACCAGACCATAGAACAGAATAAAGACCTTAAAGTATACCAGATTATAGTATCAAGACTTTAGAACATAGCTACAGTCTATAGACTAGACTATAGACTAGACTATAGAATGGACTATAGACTAGACCATAGACTAGACTATAGACTAGACTATAGACTAGACTATAGACTAGACTATAGACTAGACTATAGACTAGACTATAGACTAGACTATAGACTAGACTATAGACTAGACTATAGACTAGACTATAGACTAGACTATAGACTAGACTATAGACTAGACTATAGACTAGACTATAGACTAGACTATAGACTAGACTATAGACTAGACTATAGACTAGACTATAGACTAGACTATAGACTAGACTATAGACTAGACTATAGACTAGACTATAGACTAGACTATAGACTAGACTATAGACTAGACTATAGACTAGACTATAGACTAGACTATAGACTAGACTATAGACTAGACTATAGACTAGACTATAGACTAGACTATAGACTAGACTATAGACTTGACTATAGACTAGACTATAGACTAGACTATAGACTAGACTATAGACTAGACTATAGACTTGACTATAGACTAGACTATAGACTAGACTATAGACTAGACTATAGACTAGACTATAGACTAGACCATAGACTAGACTATAGACTTGACTATAGATTCACTATAGACTAGACTATAGACTAGACTATAGACTAGACTATAGACTAGACTATAGACTAGACTATAGACTAGACTATAGACTAGACTATAGACTAGACTATAGACTAGACTATAGACTAGACTATAGACTAGACTATAGACTAGACTATAGACTAGACTATAGACTAGACTATAGACTAGACTATAGACTAGACTATAGACTAGACTATAGACTAGACTATAGACTAGACTATAGACTAGACTATAGACTAGACTATAGACTAGACTATAGACTAGACTATAGACTAGACTATAGACTAGACTATAGACTAGACTATAGACTAGACTATAGACTGACTATAGACTAATAGACTTAGACTATAGACTAGACTATAGACTAGACTATAGACTAGACTATAGACTAGACTATAGACTAGACTATAGACTAGACTATAGACTAGACTATAGACTAGACTATAGACTAGACTATAGACTAGACTATAGACTAGACTATAGACTAGACTATAGACTAGACTATAGACTAGACTATAGACTAGACTATAGACTAGACTATAGACTAGACTATAGACTAGACTATAGACTAGACTACGGACTAGACTGTAGAATAGGCTATACTTAGACTATATACCAGACTATAGTCCAGATTATAGTGCAGACTTTAGAGCAGACTATAATCTATGCTAAAGACCACACTACATTTAAGACTACAGACTACAGTCTAGCCTGTATGACTATAATATATACTAGTTCGGTTTATTTGAGACTATATAACCCTGAGTGTTTTCAATTCCTCCATAAAATAAACATACCAACATATACACATATATCCCTAAAAATATCTCTAAAGTATACTTAATATTACAAAAAAATTTTTTCTATTTTAACGGAATTTCATTTATGTTCCGCCAAAACTAAGAAAAACATTGTATACGAGTTTATTTTATGAAAATATGAGGAAATTATATGGCGTAAAAAATGAGAAAATATTTTTGTAAAAAAGTTTTTAAATTATTCTTATTTAAACCACATTATATTATCACCTACACATAGCCCCAGTCACCATACTTAAAGGTTGGTAATAGTGTCAGTCCATACAGGTTGACTAAGTATGCAAATATAGACCAAAAGTTTGTCTATAGAAAAAAATGCATATATTCACACAAATCCTGACAGGAGTGCCCAGCAAACATTTTCAAGTTAGAAACTTATCCAACTTTTTTCTTAACGTAAGATATGTAGCAAGTTAAAAATTGATTTCTCTATATCTTATTAATGTTTTGAATAATCAATAAATTGACCCTTAAAATTCTTACTGGGTTATCCACATAAAAGTAAAATCTGACATATAAACTGACAGCTGCAAGCCCTTGGGTCTCTTTAAAATATATTTTTTATTATTGTTGCTGTTTTAATGCTACTGCTCTTATGGGGTTTCAAGAAACCACAATGGAACATTTGTGTAGAGAAAAAAAAAGTTTTTTTCCTAAACAAATGCAAACACAAAACTTAAATGTTGTGCGTTAAAAAATAATTCAGAGTGAAAATGCTTTAAAGTAAAAATTTACTATTTGCTAGAAAACAAATGCAGTATTTTTTGTATTTTTCTAAAGAAAGTTAATTAAAAATGCTTTTTAATTTTTAACATTAAATTTTTTGATTGTGGCCACAAGTAGACACTTGGTTAAGTAAATGGGTGAAATTCTATACAAAATTTTTTGATAAACTAGGAATGAAATAAAAAAAAGTAATTTTAAAAAATCTTTATTGCTGGAGAAAGTAAATATTTAATTAAATATTTTTTGTTAGCAAAACTCGTCAATAAATATGTGTTGATTGATATCTGAATACACAATAGAAATAGTATTTGTTGAAAGCAAACGATAACTTCTTAGAATAGAGGCAATTAAAAACGTTTTTTAGTTTACTTCTAACAATTGTTATTTTTTATTCACAACAAATTCTAAGAAATAGATATAACAATTTCAACAAATTATGAGAAAAATATATTAGACTAGTTCAGTTTTAATTAAGTCCTAGTACAATTCTAATTCAGTTCTAGTTCAGTTCTAGTTCAGTTCTAGTTCAGTTCTAGTTCAGTTCTAGTTCAGTTCTAGTTCAGTTCTAGTTCAGTTCTAGTTCAGTTCTAGTTCAGTTCTAGTTCAGTTCTAGTTCAGTTCTAGTTCAGTTCTAGTTCAGTTCTAGTTCAGTTCTAGTTCAGTTATAGTTCAGTTCTAGTTCAGTTATAGCTCAGTTCTAGTTCAGTTTTAGTTCAGTTCAATTCTAGTTCAGTTCTAGTTCAGTTCTAGTTCAGTTCTAGTTCAGTTCTAGTTCAGTTCTAGTTCAGTTCTAGTTCAGTTCTAGTTCAGTTCTAGTTCAATTCTAGTTTAGTTCTAGTTCAGTTCTAGTTCAGTTCTAGTTCAGTTCTAGTTCAGTTCTAGTTCAGTTCTAGTTCAGTTCTAGCTCAGTTCTAGTTCAGTCTTAGTTCTAGTTCAATTCTAGTTCAGTTCTAGTTCAGTTCTAGTTCAGTTCTAGTTCAGTTCTAGTTCAGTTCTAGTTCAGTTCTAGTTCAGTTCTAGTTCAGTTCTAGTCAGTTCTAGTTCAGTTCTAGTTCAGTTCTAGTTCAGTTCTAGTTCCGTTCTAGTTCAGTTCTAGTTCAGTTCTAGTTCAGTTCTAGTTAGTTCTAGTTCAGTTCTAGTTCAGTTCTAGTTCAGTTCTAGTTCAGTTCTAGTTCAGTTTCGTTCAGTTCTGTCAGTTCTAGTTCAGTTCTAGTTCAGTTCTAGTTCAGTTCTAGTTCAGTTCTAGTTCAGTTCTAGTTCAGTTCTAGTTCAGTTCTAGTTCCGTTCTAGTTCAGTTCTAGTCCGTTCTAGTTCAGTTCTAGTTCCAGTTCTTAGTTCAGTTCTAGTTCAGTTCTAGTTCAGTTCTAGTTTCAGTTCTAGTTCAGTTCTAGTTCAGTTCTAGTTTCAGTTCTAGTTCAGTTCTAGTTCAGTTCTAGTTCAGTTCTAGTTCAGTTCTAGTTCAGTTCTAGTTCAGTTCTAGTTCAGTTCTAGTTCAGTTCTAGTTCAGTTCTAGTTCAGTTCTAGCTCAGTTCTAGTTCAGTTCTAGTTCAGTTCTAGTCAATTCTAGTTCAGTTCTAGTTCAGTTCTAGTTCAGTTCTAGTTCCGTTCTAGTTCAGTTCTAGTTCAGTTCTAGTTCAGTTCTAGTTCAGTTCTAGTTCAGTTCTAGTTCAGTTCTAGTTCAGTTCTAGTTTAGTTCTAGTTCAGTTCTAGTTCAGTTCTAGTTCAGTTCTAGTTCAGTTCTAGTTCAGTCTCAGTTCTAGTTCAGTTCTAGTTCAGTTCTAGTTCAATTCTAGTTCAGTTCTAGTTCAGTTCTAGTTCAGTTCTAGTTCCGTTCTAGTTCAGTTCTAGTTCAGTTCTAGTTCAGTTCTAGTTCAGTTCTAGTTCAGTTCTAGTTCAGTTCTAGTTCAGTTCTAGTTTCAGTTCTAGTTCAGTTCTAGTTCAGTTCTAGTTCAGTTCTAGTTCAGTTCTAGTTCAGTTCTAGTTCAGTTCTAGTTCAGTTTCTAGTTCAGTTCTAGTTCAGTTCTAGTTCAGTTCTAGTTCAGTTCTAGTTCAGTTCTAGTTCAGTTCTAGTTCAGTTCTAGTTCAGTTCTAGTTCAGTTCTAGTTCAGTTCTAGTTCAGTTCTAGTTCAGTTCTAGTTCAGTTCTAGTTCAGTTCTAGTTCAGTTCTAGTTCAGTTCTAGTTCAGTTCTAGTTCAGTTCTAGTTCAGTTCTAGTTCAGTTCTAGTTTAGTTCTAGTTCAGATCTAGTTCATTTCACGTTCAGTTTAGTTCAGTTCTCCTTCAGATCTGATTTTGTCATCCAAAAATTTTTAATTTATACGATTTTTTAATTTTTTATAATTATAGAAATAATACTTATTATCACGAATTCGATGACATTGAAAATGTATACTCTGAGTCTCGTGCAAATACTTCATTTTATTAAATTGAATAAAGGCCTGTAAAAAGTTTATCAATCCATGTCTGACACTAGAGGTCAAAGTCAGTAAATAAGAATTCTTTGCTTTAGCATTTATTTGTTTAAAAAATACTCATAAAGAAATATTAGAGTATAAAGAGAGTGAGAAAATACACTAGGCATGAGCGAATCGTAACTACCTTTCATCTAGTAGTAAGACTACATAGATTTTAAATATCAAACATCTAACAATATTCTATAATAAAGTAATAAATTGAAATTTAGTATGGAATTGAAAAATGTTGCCACACAATATTAAGTGGACCTGCACAATTTAGGTCTTTAGGTTACCTACAGTATAACACACTTAAGTACAACCGTGTAGTGATCTAGTTGATAATATTATCAATACAAATTAAGTTTATTTTAAAATCGCCTGTCAAGCTTAATAGCAATTCAGTCATTAATTGTTCTTATTTAGGATCATACAGCAGTTAAGTTTTAATATGAAATTTTTTATAATTTGTGTTTTTCTTTGCTTAATTGCCAACAATTTGGCAAAGGTATGTTTTTAGAAATAAATTAGTAAATAATTCTACTAATATTTGATCATTATAACAGAAACATACTGAAAACATGACAACCGCCACGGAAGAGTGCCGAAGAGAAGAAAATATCTCCGAAGAAGAGTATAACAAAGTAATCGATCATCATTTTGATAATCCCACTAGTGAGATGAAATGTTTTACGGCCTGTGTTGCGGAAAAGATTGGCATATTAAAGGACAACATTGTGCAGGAAGATGTTGTATTAGAAATAGCAAGAGAAGTTAATAAAGTGAAAATGACAAATATCATTTTGCAGAAGTGTAAACAAATACAGAGTGAAGATCGCTGTGATATGGCTTTTAGATTTCATGTCTGTGTTCAAAATACTAAAAAAGAAATACTTGAAGCAGAAAAATAAACTAACAATAAATTTTGATTATTAAGAACATTTTATATTCGTAACTAGCTGAAGGAAAACTAAATTTCCAAAGAATTTGTTTTATTCACAAAAAGCCTTAAATAAGAAATTCAAAGGTAAATGAAATAACTTATTAATGATTAATAAGAATTTCTTATATAAACAATTCCTGAAACAAAATATTATATTTATAATTATAGAATTTTCTACAAAACTACTAATGCCTCAAAAAAAAAAAATTAATTAGCTGAAGGCTGGTTTTCGTTTAACATTTTTAACAAACATAAATCTCAATGTGTTTTGTCTGCATTTTAAGTAACAAACATTTTGTCAATTTGATTAAGTGTGGATTTCATCAAATTAACACGTAATCAAAGCCCGGACAACTGTGAATAACAGTTGCCAAATCAACAACAATCCTAGAATCTACTAATTGTGTTGTGTCGTTATATTTTTATAACATTTCCTTTGAGTCATTATTCCATATCCTTTAGACAAATCTCATTAATTCTCTAACAACAACTACTAGCACTTTCATTTTTGGACTAGCAATATCTTGCCTAGAAACTCTCACGCTGTTACGATATGTCATGACTGCAGCAACGTTATTGGCATTAAATGTTCAATGTCTAAATCAAACAAGATTTAAGCAATTAGTAGTTAAATAAAGATTATTTTATTTGTTTCTTTTTTTTTCTTCCAAACGCACAAAAATAGTAAAATTAATTACGCAAATTTTCTATTATTAATAATTAAAATTAGGCTGCTTAAATATTTAATTATTAAACAACAAGTGTTTGAAAACAACAGACAGGCAGACATTATACATTAAGTAAATTACCAATTAAAAGGTCTAGCAAAATATACTTATAAGTAGCTTAAAAATGAAATGGAAAATTTTCAAATATTTCAATATTATAACAGTAATAAATTCCAAGTCTAACTTAATTTAACATTTTTTGTTAAAATTTTTTAAATAATTTAATTAAATCAGTTTCCACACTTACCAATAATTTACGTTTTAATCGCAGCAGCTTTTGACCACAAATAAACTGCAAGGAAAAAAGAAAAAAATCACAATAAAATACAGATGAACTGAAATTTAAAGCTAAAAGGTACATTCTTGGAATGCAACTGTAATGGAACAGCACTGAACTAGACTGAACTAGAACTGAACTAGAACTGAACTAGAACTGAACTAGAACTGAACTAGAACTGAACTAGAACTGAACTAGAACTGAACTAGAACGAACTAGAACTGAACTAGAACTGAACTAGAACTGAACTAGAACTGAACTAGAACTGAACTAGAACTGAACTAGAACTGAACTAGAACTGAACTAGAACTGAACTAGAACTGAAACTAGAACTGAACTAGAACTGAACTAGAACTGAACTAGAACTGAACTAGAACTGAACTAGACTGAACTAGAACTGAACTAGAACTGAACTAGAACTGAACTAGAACTGAAACTAGAACTGACTAGAACTAGAACTGAACTAGAACTGAACTAGAACTGACTAGAACTGAACTAGAAACTGAACTAAGAACTGAACTAGAACTGAACTGAACTAGAACTGAACTAGAACTGAACTAGAACTGAATTAGAACTGAACTAGAACTGAACTAGAACTGAACTAGAACTGAACTAGAACTGAACTAGAACTGAACTAGAACTGAATTAGAACTGAACTAGAACTGAACTAGAACTGAACTAGAACTGAACTAGAACTGAACTAGAACTGAACTAGAACTGAACTAGAACTGAACTAGAACTGAACTAGAACTGAACTAGAACTGAACTAGAACTGAACTAGAACTGAACTAGAACTGAACTAGAACTGAACTAGAACTGAACTAGAACTGAACTAGAACTGAACTAGAACTGAACTAGAACTGAACTAGAACTGAACTAGAACTGAACTAGAACTGAACTAGAACTGAACTAGAACTGAACTAGAACTGAACTAGAACTGAACTAGAAGAACTAGAACTGAACTAGAACTGAACTAGAACTGAACTAGAACTGAACTAGAACTGAACTAGAACTGAACTAGAACTGAACTAGAACTGAACTAGAACTGAACTAGAACTGAACTAGAACTGAACTAGAACTGAACTAGAACTGAACTAGAACTGAACTAGAACTGAACTAGAACTGAACTAGAACTGAACTAGAACTGAACTAGAACTGAACTAGAACTGAACTAGAACTGAACTGAACTAGAACTGAACTAGAACTGAACTAGAACTGAACTAGAACTGAACTAGAACTGAACTAGAACTGAACTGGAACTGAACTTGAACTTAAGTGGAAATTAGGCTGTAGTCGATAATATAGCCAACGACTTAAACTATAGTTTAGTCAATAACTTCATATAACTTCAACTTACAGTCTTATCTTGAAGCAATCAGAAACTTTATGATTTTAAACAAAACATCTGGTTAACTAAAAATACTCCTGTATATGAGAAGTCTTTGTGTAATTGCACATAACTCCATAAAATATTTGCTGACTGTGTGCAAAACATTCTGTTGGCATTAGTCAGCATTAACTACTTGTATTCCCAAAAACCTCAAAATTTTACTCTTTAGGCACAAGAAAATTGTGATGTTCGAAATGAATTTCATGTCTAAACATTACGAGTATTGTTTTTCTTGTTACCACCAAAACATCTATCTCCCTCTCTTATTTCCTTCTGTTGAAATCACGTGCAAAGCTCTTACCAAGAATTGCTTCTTAGTAAGGCTTTTGTGTTTTAAGAACTATTTTCTATGCCATGACTACAATCAATTTTCCATTTACTAGTGAAATAAACATTATACGAAAATTAAATCGAATTACAATATTAATTCAATACATATGTAGGTAGGTATGTGTGCACACACAAGTGCATAATAATATAAACCACTTGCAATATTTATTAGTTGCCAAAGTCTATGTAAAGTTTTGTGCAGTTGTTAGGCTTGAATATTAATGCAAAATAATAATTTGTTGAGAAGACAAATGTTTATACATAAATGCAAATATTTTGTTTAGGGAAAGAAGATTTTGAATTTTGTTTAGAAATAAAACTTTACTTGTTGTTTATTATTTATTTAATTTGTTTGAATATTAGGACTTTAATTAGTATAATTAAAATGGATTTGTAATAATATAATTTCTAAAACATACTTTAAGGTTTATGTTTTAAAGCAGACATTAGGAATGTATATTGTAACCATCCTCTTAAAGTTAATAATTGTTTAAGGAGTACACGGCCATTAGAGTAATAAATAATTTAAATTACTTTGAATAGCCTACTTTAAGGCTGTTACAGGACAGTGTATGTACGTTTTTAATCTCACTAGGTAGTCGTAACAGAAATATATTCGTTTTAAAACCTTTTGTGAATATAATTTCAAAGTTAATATTTCTAATCATTCTATTTTACCAACATGTTAAAAATGTCCTTTCTAACAAAACTCTTGTCATGTTGACATTTCAAACAGCTCTTACACTGTTAAGCAGCATCGTTTATTTTTTTCTTAAAGATGTTTAGGTTATGTTATTTAACATTGCTAATGTTACTTTAAATACTAACAGACTTTTTTTAAATTTCCTACAATTTTGTTAACAATGAGTTTATGTTGACTGGCATAAACTTTAGTGTTACGCGTTACTTTAAAGCGTTCGAAACGTGTTTTTGAAATTTAAATCTCGTAACGTTCAATAAACAAAAACGTGTTTGAAATTAAATTATAATTTAAACGTATTTAAAACGTGTGTGTTATATGTACGTGTCGTATACGGTATATGGAATTAATGTTATAATAAAATTAATCATACGCCTATTGGCCTAATGGAAGTTTCTTTGGAATCGTTGAAAATAATGAAGAAATGTGGAAATTTGTGTGCAAAACAAGTGCAAATAAACTAGATAATTAAGTAATTTATTAAATATAAAAGATTATTAAAAAAAATTTAAATAAAAAGAAAATGTTGAAGTTACAATTTTAGATTTTAAAGGTATTTTTACATAAAAAAAATAACAAAAATTTAAAATTTCATCAAATAGAATTTTTTTATCATTTTTACATTTTTTCAAAATTTTACTAAAAATTTTTCAATAGAAATTCAATTTATCAGAAAAATTCGATTTTTTCTAAGAAACAATTTTTAACTTTAAATTCGATTTTTCATTAAAAAAATTTAATTTTTCACAAAAAATCCATTAGTATTCACTAAAAACCCAATTTTTACTAAAAATACAAATTTTCATTAAAATGTCAAAAATAAAATTTTTCTTTAAAAATCAATTTTTTACAAAAAATCTAATTTTTACTAATTTTACTATTTTTTAATAATTATTAAATTTTCACTAAAAATTTATTAGATTTTTCACTAAAAATTTACTTTTTCATTAAAAATTCACTACAAAACCCAATTTTCAGTAAAAATATGATTTTTCCTTAAAAATTAAGATTTTTTACTAAAAATAAAATTTTCCAACAAAAATTTGATTTTTCATTAAAAATCTAAATTTTCAATAAAAATCCAACTTTTCACTAAAAATCCAAATTTTTACTATAAATCCAATATTTCTTTAAAAATTAAATTTTTTACCAAAAATCCATTTTTTATAAAAAAATTATTTTTTTTTTGAAAAATTCGATTAGATGCTAAAACTTTTATGTTTTCATAAATATATTTAATATTCAATAATTGAATTTTCGTTATACGAAGACTATAAAAATAACGTATGAGTAATAAATTTATAATTTATGATGATATTAATCATACGCATATAAAGCTTTTAGTAATAAACAAAATCCATTAAAAAGATAAATAAATTAAAAGTTTATTTTAGAAATTTGACACACACAATATTCTTTGTTTTATAAAATAATAAAATATACATTAAGATAAACAAATTGGCATTAAAAAGATGGTTAATACCACTAAAAACAATAGAAGAATCTTTAGCGTTGCTAACACAACCTCACTTTAAACCATTTTAATAACCAGCAAATTTTTTTTTTGTTTAATTAAAGATTAAAATTTATCTAAATTGAAATAAAAA